AAATTTCTGCTAAAAAAAGTTTAAAAATACATTAATAAAAAGTATATATACCTACTAATGGAACAGCAGTGAATTGTATTCATGTTCTTAAAAAAAAAACAAATTATAGTTAGAGAACTATACACATATTAACAAGAGAAAACAACAATTTGTATAATTTACTTAATTTTTAAATAAATACATAAATAAATAAACAAACAAATAAATAAAGACTTATTTGCCCAAGATAATAATTCCATTTATAGGGCAAATTAATTATTATTAGTATTACACACAAATTGAAATCAACGAATGAAATAGAAGAAAAATATTAAATTCCTTAAATATGTACCTAGGTTTATAAATTGAATGGCTACTCTTTCAAAATATAATTAATATAATAATTATAATAATATTAACATAAGTTTAAATGATTCTGCTTTGAAGGTCTATGGTCGGCAGCCTATCATAAATTATCAAAACTCTTCAGTATTATGAGCTTACGATGGTTTTATGACTTTTGTCCCGGAATTGTGTATCCCTTTTACTCATCTCAGCTCAGACGGATTTTAAGAAGATTTGCGGCTTGTATTCAGGGTAACAAATGGCGCCTAATTTTCATCAGTTAACCTTAAACATGTTAAAAAATGACAACTTTTTGTCGAATTTTTGTATCGTGAACACGCCATTATCCACATTTCACCGCTGTCATCAAGTGCCGTCCGTCTGCTCCAAATAACTCGGGGGATCCTCGTCGGGGTTACTTTGTTACATGTGTTTAACGCGGGGTCATGTAAGCAAACGGCCGTTCCATTAATCACAGCATGGAGGAGAATAGATGGACATTAAAAGAATGAATGAATGACTGCCGGCGGGGACGTCGTTTTGTTACGTAATTCTACCATAGCTAATGGGAGATGCGCGTGGTTCATTCTTTATAATGCTTCCGTTATGGTACGGTACCGAATCAGATTTCTGTCGGACTGATTTTTTTTCTCTATACCCACTTTTTAATAAGTGCAATAATATCTCGGATGGGTGAGGATGATTGATGGTTTCTAGATGAGATTTTCGGCGGACTTTTCTGTTGATGGCTCGAAGAGTCTGTAAATTATGAGAAAATAAATAACGCTAAAAAAGCGATCACGATTACGGTTGTATATTGAATTCATGAACTCTGGGTTTTAGGTACGAGAATTTCTGTACAGAAATGTGTTTTTTACTTGTCACTCATGCGAGACAACTGTTATGATATGAGTAACGGAGGATAAATAGTTTATTATGAGTTATGCCAATCGTTAATTTATTTAGGATAAGCAAATTATTACAAACAGCGAAAAAACTTACTACTGGGAACCGAGAACGTATTGGTAGTCTGCTAATAAAGTTTCCGAGATGCTTCTAAAGCAATGACCAGTGAATTCTTGTCAGGTGGGATGCTTGTAATAATACAGTATTATTTTCACTAAATTACTACTGTATTTTAAGTAAATGAACCGTTTATTTCACAACCATCAGTCTATCGCATCTGTCGTAGTACAGTGTTATACGTGGTTCTCCCTTGTTACATGTTGAGTTCTTTTTGGTAATATTACTAATATTTTAAAAGAATGCCGAAAGTAAAATCGACGCCGGATGAGTGGATAAGGGATTTTCCAGAATAAAAATTGGAAAACAACAAAAATTCTGCAGAGCTTGTGTGAAAACCGTGAGCCCACTAATTTTTTTTTATCTATTTTCCTTTGTTAATCCTGTATATGTACGTTGTTTTAGATTCAAAGTGATAAAAAATATAACGTGACACAACATGTCAGAACTACTCTTCATGTAGAAAGGAAGAAAATGTTTGAAGTTTCTAAAATTAAACAGCAGACCATACATGAATCTGTTGCATCTACTTCCACAAAAGATGAGCAGTTTCAGTTTAATTGAAATTTATGCAAAATGATGATCCAGTCCAATATACCTTTAAAAAAATTGGAGAAAGGCCCTCTTCAAGAATTCCTTGAAAAACACCGCAATCGACATATTCCGGTTGAAAGTACTCTCCGAAAAAATTATATAGGTCCAGTGTTTCAGCAAGTTTACAACGAAATTAAACATCGCATTGGAGATAATTATTTCTGGTTCGCTGTCGATGAAACAACCGATAGTTGTGGAAGATACGTGGCAAGTTTAATTGTTGGAATCTTAAATGAAAATTTCCCTAGTCGAGAGTATGTAGTAAGTTTGAAAATGTTAGATAAAACAAATGGCAATACGATTACCAGATTTGTAAATGACAGTCTTACGTCACTATTTTTGCCAAATGCCGTACCGGCGAATAAAATTTTATTGATGATCTCGGATGCAGCTCGTTATATGTTGAAAGCAGGGAATAATCTAAAAATGTTGTACCCCAATTTAATTCACTCTACTTGCATTGCCCACGCTTTAAACAGCGTGGCTGAAGGAATACGTTTGCAGTTTCCTACTGTTAATAAATTAGTGGCAAATGGTAAAAAGATTTTTGTTAAAGCCCCACTAAGAGTGCAACATTTTAAGGAAAAATTTTCAAACATACCATTGCCCCCAGAGCCGATTATAACGAGGTGGGGAACATGGTTACAGGCCACATTTTATTATGACAAATATATCAAAGAATTTGAGGAAGTAGTTACGGAGTTTAGCGAAGATTCTTCTCAATCGATTAAAGATTGCATAAATATTTTGGAAAACAAAGATGTGCGACAAGATCTAGCTTTTCTAAGAAGCAATTATCAATTCGTATGTGAGGTAATAGAAAAGTTAGAAAAACCCAACATGTTGTTGGTAGATGCCATAAACTTAGTGAAAGAATTTAAACAACAAGCAAACGCAGTAAGGGGTACTAGAGTATCTCAAAAACTTGACGAAGTGTGAAATAAAAATGCAGGTTTCGGTGTTCTTTCCGACGTTGCTCATGTTTTACAAGGCCAGAAGGCAAAAAATTTGGAGTTAGATTCAACATTGGTTGCAAAATTCAAATTTGTGCCAACAACGAGTGTGGACGTTGAACGCACATTCTCCAATTTTAAACGCATTTTAAATGATCGGCGAAAAAATTTTACAGTGGACAACTTGGAACATATTACAATCATAAATTGTTTTAAAGAAAACTGAAATACGCGTGTAAAATATAAAGTCTAGGATTATTGTAATAATATTTTCTCCAAAGTTCTAAGAAGTGTTATTTGTTTGTAATATGATTATGTTTTTAATGCTTTTTTGCTTAAAATAAAACTTTTTTAATGAAAGTGTTATGCTTATTTAATGCTTTTTTGCTTAAAATAAAACTTTTTTATTGAAAATGTTGTGCTTATTTAAGCGCTTATTCTTAATTTTTTTGTGCTTATAAATCCGCTCTCTATTTATTATGTTCAAATAGTGATTGTAAAAGTAATCATGAAAGATCTTATTTTAAGTTCGACGTAGTGTTTTCTGACCATACTTTATTTCTAGGCATTAATATTGATCATAAATTAAATTGGAATGCACAGGGAATTGCTGTTTCTCACAAATCATCGTCAGTTACGTTTCTGTTAAGGCAACTAAAAGACAAGGTGTCCGTGACAATATTAAAAACTGCCTATTTTGCTTTATTTCAGGTCACGTTGCTCTATGGTATTTTGGTTTGGGGACATTCTCACATCAGACATTTAATTTTTAAGTTACAGAGAAGGGTAATAAGGGTGATGTCTGAATTAAACTATAGGGCAGATTGTAGACAGAGTTTTATTAATTTAGAGATTATGACTTTTCCTTCGTTGTATTTCTTTTCAAGCTTAATGTACGTTAAACAAAATTTTCAAGACTATTATTGCCACGCTGATACCCATAAGTATATATTATACTAGACATAGAAGCAACTTAATATCGAAACACAATAGATTAACATGCACTCAAAACTGTACAAGATACTACGAAGTTAAATTTTTTAATATGTTGCCACCAAATGTCCGTATTTTGCCACTGCCCAAATTTAAAAAACAAGTACGGTCTTTTGTCATTAGAAATTGTTTTTATTCATTTGAGGATTACTTTCTATGTAATTTTAATTTTAATAATGTTATGTAACTTTAAGCCGGCATTATGTATTTAATTATGAATTTTGACTTATGTAAAACTGCGGTATTTGATTTGATTTGAACAAAATTTTCGAAATTTGACTAAATACATTTTCTTGTAGATTTCGGGCCGCAGAAGTCATTGCCGCTTTCATTTCTTCGATAACTCCAATGGTTCTTCCAGAATCGTCCTTTGAAATAGATAAAAATATGCAAAATTTTCGACCAATTTTCAACAAAATTTTCGAAATTTCACTAAATACGTTTTCTTGTAGTTTTCGGGCCGCAGAAGTCATTGCCGCTTTCATTTCTTCGATAACTCCAATGGTTCTTAAAGATCGTCCTTTGAAATGTATAAAAATATGCAAAATTTTCGACCAATTTTCAACAAAATTTTCGATATTTCACTAAATACATTTTCTTGTAGATTTCGGGCCGCAAAAGTCATTGCCGCTTTCATTTCTTCGATAACTCCAATGGTTTTTCCAGAATCGTCCTTTGAAATCTATAAAAATATGCAAAATTTTCGACCAATTTTCAACAAAATTTTCGAAATTTCACAATACATTTTCTTGTAGATTTCGAGCCGCAGAAGTCATTGCCGCTTTCATTTCTTCGATAACTCCAATGGTTCTTCGAAAATCGCCCTTTGAGATGTATAAACATATGCAAAATTTTCGACCAATTTTCAATAAAATTTTCGAAATTTCACTAAATACTTTTCTTGTAGATTTCGGGCCGCAGAAGTCATTGCCGCTTTCATTTCTTCGATAACTCCAATGGTTCTTCCAGAATAGTCCTTTGAAATGTACCTATGTATATCCTAAGTACTGGAATTCTTTCACCTGTTTAATCTTCTTCACTCTCCAAGTCCACTCTTCCCTTCTCCTTTCTTACTTTCTTCCCAAACACCACCATTTTTGTTTTTTTGCACATTCACTTCCAATTCATTTCTTGTACGTGCTTCTCGAAACTTTTAATCATTGTTTTCATTTCTTCTCTTTTCTTTGCCACAATCACCAAATCATCTGCATACGCCAACGACCACACTTTCTCTTTGCCCACTACCACCCCTCCTGTCTGTGCTTCTCTGAACAGTTCATCTATATCTCCTAGATAAGCTGCAAACAATGCGGAGCTGAGTGGGCATCCCTGTCTCACTCCTCTATTTGTATAAAAACTCTCGCTCTCTATTCCATTCACTCTCACTTTACTTACTGTTTCTTCATATATTTCTTCCATTTTCGTTACCAGGTACGCATATACTCCCTTTCTGCTCAAATACTCCCACATTTTCTCTCTATTCACGCTATCAAACGCTGCTTTGAAATCTATGAACAATGCGTAGGTACATTCGTCCACCCTCTTTCCTTATTTCTCTTCCCACTAAATGCCGCAGGATGTACACATTGTCCATAGTACTTCTTCCTTTCCTAGACCCTGCCTGACCGTCTGGAAACATACCCCTTGCTTCCATCTCCTTTCGTAACCTCTCATCTAGTATCATTGCGTATGTCTTGTACGCCATATTGAGCAAGGTGATGCCTCGGTGGTTCTCCACATCACTTTTTTGCCCATTTTTAAATAATGGGATTATTATACCTTCTCTCCACTGCCGAGGAAACCCTTTTCCCTTCCAAACTCCATCTACACTTCATATATCCTTTCTTTCACTCCTTCTGCCCCGAACATCCACGCTACGTTCTGGATTCCATCCCTTTCTGGTGCCTTTCCTATTTTCAGTCTTTCAATCTGTCTTCATATTTCATCTTCCGTTATTTCCGAACCTCTCCACATTTCTTCGGTCGTTGTGATTCCTTTATTTATTTACAGCATTTTTCCTCACAACTTCCCAATACTTCCATAAAGTGTCTTTTCCATTCATGTATTTTGATTTTCCTACTGACTTCAGTCCTCCTTCTCCGTTCCTTGTTTATATATCTCCATACTTCTTCTTCTGTTTTCAGGGACTATATTGTCTTGTCTTTTTCTCCTCGTTTTTGACTTTTTCTTTCTTCACATTTTGTCCTATAATTCTCTCTTGCTTTCAAGTACTCTTCTTTCTTTCCCCTGTTATTCTTCATTTTCTTAATTTTTCCCTTGCTTTTCTCTTCAACTCACTACATTCTCCGTTCGATTCATTATTCCTCCCTTGCCATATATACATATATACATTCTTTTTTCAGTAGCTTCTATAATTAAGTTGATCAGTTCTGCTAGCATAGCTTCTATATCTTCTTTTACTTCAAATTTCTTTTTTTCTAATCTACTTCTGTATCTTTGAATTCCCTCTTCATCCCATATTCTTTTTTCTATTTTTTTCTTTCGTTTCTTCTCTCTTGTTTTTCGCACTCTTCCTCTTTTCCTTTGATTTTTATTTCAAGTGGCATGTTGTCGGATTCTACCCTTTCTCCCAGTTTGAAACTTTCTATTCCTTCCCATGCCTCTTCGTTGATATTCCCATAGTCTATAATTGATTCTCCCCTAGCCCCTACTAAGCCCATTCTCCTTCTTCATCTCCTTCCTTGTTTCCATTCAAAATTTACCCATCCCATTTCTTCTATGTATTATCGTCCACAATATTTTCCCTTCTTTGTTATTTGCTTTGTCTTTTGATCCTGTTTTCTCTCCCTTTTCTTTATTTATTATTCTTGTCCCCTTATCGCCCGGTCTTGCGTTAAAGTCCCTTCCTATAACTATTTTTTCATCTACATTTTCTTTTGTTTCTTTTTCTATGTTTATCTTGGTTTCCTCCATTTTCTTGCTATAAACGATTACTATTTCCCATTGATTGTTATCCAGCTACATTACTTTCTTCATTAGTCCGTTTTTATTACTTATTACTTCCCTTTTCCAATTTGTTGCATTTCTTTTCGAATTCTCATTGCTATTCCCCCGCTTGCTCTCCTCTTTTTCTTTTCCTTTGTCGCCCCTTGACACTCCCACACATATTCTTGTGGTAGTGTCTCTTTAAATTTCTCCCAGTTTTCTCTTTGTACCCATGTCTCTACTACCCCACCACATCAAATTTTCCCACGTAGTCCCAGAACTCCTTTTCTTTTTTTCGCAACCCTTGGACATTCCAAAACAGCACCTTCACCCCTTTTTCTCCTAATTTTGTACCAGTCATATTCCTAATAATGTCAGCAGTCTTGGACAGTATCTAGATACATTTTTGGGTATCTAGTATCTATATCTAGATAAAATCGAATTTAAGCACAAAATATCTGTATCTAGATACAAAATTAATGGAGCAGATACAGATACATTTTTTTATTTCACTTTTTTTTTCAGTAGTTATTAGTTGAGTTATACTAGTAGTAATAATTTTTGAAACTTCATGTTGGTGATTTTGGTCACAATCAAAAATAAAGGTAAGAGGTCCACTAATAGTGTTTTGTCACGGAAATTTTCATATTTTAAATATCATCATTTCATTGTACATTGTAGCCTTCAGTACTTATACAACTTTTTAGATATAATCCTGGGGGGTACCTAATAAATCTAAGCCATGGTAAGACGATATTTTAAAAACCATAAACCACAATTCACTGTTCACTGCGTTTTACGCTTATCGGGACAATGCATTTTATCTGTGTATCTGAGCAACCCGGGTCCGGTAGACCTGCTGGTTGTATTTGTGTTATTAAATAGGAGTAATTTTAATAGTAAAAATATTTGTTTAAGGTATGTTATTATTTTTAGAAAATAATAATTGCGTGTTACATAATGATTAATTTTTTCAATTAGCACAAATTAGTTTTGTCATCGACTAATCGAATGTTCAATGCATACATTTCTCTCGCATAAATCGCATATTTGTTACTGTTTTATACCTTTATTTTTCAGACAAATGTAGCATCTTTTCCTGTTGCTACATGTGTCATTTCTTCACTTTTTCATTGTTGGACCTAACACGAGGCGGGCTTGGCAGGTCCGTTTTGCCCTAGAATGTGCCGATTATGTTTAAGTGTAAATCTCGGGTAACACAATGAATATTTTTACAACCCTCGGTAGAATAATTTATCGTGATATATTCTCAGAAATGGTGAAACGAGATTAAAATAAAATGAGTTTCAACAAAAATCTGAAAATTTAAAGTTGCACTTTGGTGATTCCGGCCTGCCAGGCAGCCTTTGATCCTATAAGGGGTTTAAATACCTTTCTAAGAAATTGTACTTATTTTGCCTTAAACGGAACCAGCAATTCTTCATAAAATGTATATACCTGTCGCACCGGGATAGACGATTACCGGACATGGTCATAAAAACATCGTAACCCGATATTGAAGAATAATAATTTATGACAGGTTGCCGACAACAGACCTGCAGCACAGAATAATCATTTCCGGTATTCTTTTGAAATATTAATTTTAATGCTGGAGATAATTATTAGATATACTCAAATACAATTTGGACAGTGTAGTATGAGAATAAAAACAAAAAAAATCTTCTTTTTAAGCGTACGTAATAAATACTGCACAATTTGTGACACATCAAACAGCGAAGCGATGGCCTATTTGCAGGAAAAAAGAAAATATTTTTCAGTCTTGAATAAACATGCTAGAGTAAAATGTTTATTTTTTAAACTTAATACCACAATTCCTTCTTCTGGACCTGTGGAACGGGTGTTTAGTAGCGGAAACCAAATTCTGACACCAAGAAAAAATAATTTAGGTGACAATACGTTCGAAATGTTGTTCATTTAAAAAATGCATTAAACAATACATAAAAAAATACATAAACATGTTTTCAGTTATTTTATTCGCCAAAGCTTCAAAAAGTATCTGTTTTCTTGTATCTGTATCTACATACATTTCGAAAAAATCAAAAACAATCTGTATCTAGATACTTTTAAAAGTATATTCTGTCCCCAACACTGAATATCAGATCTAAAAATTTACCTAAATTTTAAGTATTTAGAGCATATATCGCTATAAATTGTCTTGATAATTTTTTAATTTGGACCACTGAAATAATTGATTGTAAAAGTACCCAGGAACTTGAAGCAAATATTTATGCTATCAAACAACTGAATGAATGAATGAATGAGAAATATTTTGTCAAATTATTGTTCCCATCTTTACCTGCTAATATCAGGTATGGAATGGTTTATGCTCAGTCAACATGTGGGTACCTAGTTAAAATTTTATGACTTAATACAAAGCATCCTTATAAAACTGGCTAATGTGAGTTGCACACAAGTCGTTAGATTTAGGTGTGGAAATGAAGAAAGAAACGACCAGAGGAAAAAAACGGTTTAGCTATTTATTGTTATCAATAACTAAAAACTTATGTTCTTTTTTTTAATGGAAATTATTTTTGTAAATGAAGAATGATTTGACCCCGTAGCACAAAATAAACTGATTTATTTATATCTACATACAAATAATATTAAAACCTGGGAAAATCAGTACCTTGTAAACATGCGAGCTCTGACTAATCATATGTAAATATTCTAATTGTCGCAGTCAGCGCAGCTTTTAATTAACACAAACTACCGCAATTTTAAATTACCGCGTTAAAATATTTCTACTTTTTGCGAGAAAAACTCTTTCCGAAAAAAAATTTAATTTCTTGCCGTCAGCATTCGAGTGCATTTTTCCATCCACGTGCTGGCACCCAAACGACACATGTACTTCATGTAATTATGTACATTTCCTATGTAAATGACTCAAGGTTCGCTATAAGGATGATTTATTCATGGTTTCTTTCTCTTTCTGGTCCGAGACGAAGTCCTGTTGCGTCGAGTATTTGTCAACAGCCATTAACATAATCACTGTATTTAAAGTAAATCACACGTTTAGTAGACAAATGACTCATTGTCAAACAACACGGCCCAAAACGAGAGGCGGGTTCCTGTCAACTGTGCCTTAATGGCTAAAATACCTTCTTTTCTAACTAATTAAAAAAAAGATGGATTTGGATCCACCTACCTGTGAAGGAGATGACTAAGACACACAAAAATAATATTTAGACAAAAGTGAACCACGAATTTTTTTTCTTCACGTTGGATAAACCGATTCATCGACAAAACGCTTTGTTTCACGCGTGGGTGCTTTATCATCGCATCAGATTTGAACAAAAATGTTCGAAAAAACAAATTTTTGAGTAAACCATTGACATGAGTGTCAATTTATATAATAAATTATTTGGGCAGCAGAATTACAAATTACTTGCAAGTGACCTCTCCAGAACTACCAGCTACAAAAATCTACCAAGAATTAATGGATCTTCTAAGCAATCATCTTGCACCGAAGAAAAATGTTTTAGCTAAACAAAATAAATTCTTTTCAAGAGTTCAACAACCAAGTGAATCAATTTCTACATTCGTCACAGGATTGAAATAATTAATTAAAAATTGTGAATTCAAAACGGAATGTAAAGAAAAAGAACCTCCTTGTTTTACTTGTTCAAAATGTGTGATCGACATGTTACTACGAGCTCAGTTTATCCGAGGACTTCAAGATTCCAGCATTAGAGAAAGAATTCTCCAATTAGTAAACGTTTCCTTTGATAAAGCATTAGAAACAGCATTGACAATCGAAGCTTCAAGAATTCAAAATCGAGAAGTTTATAACAACTCATCACATGCGTCAAATAATGTTCATAAAATTGGTTTTACTAAAGGACAATCAGCATCAAAATATAATCAAAATAGATCTTCACGTCAAAAATGCTCAAAAATAATAGGTCGAAGCATAAATTTACAAGAATTGGGTCTATCCGGATTATGCTTACATTGTGGAAAAAAGAATCATCAAACTGATAACTGTCACATCAAAGAAAAACTTCACTGGAATCTTTGTCGAAAAAAAGGGCACACAAATAAAGTATGTATTTCTACATTACTTCAAAAAAACTGTCAAAAACGTCGACATCGGTTCAAATTCCTCTGTTGATGAAGAATTTCAAATAAATAATATTATCGACATCTTCAATACCTCTTCGTCAACTTATGAACCAAGAATGTTCATTACAGTACAAAGTCTTGGCAAACCAGTTAAATTTGAGTGTGATACCGGCAGTCCAGTCAGCATCATTTCAAAGAACATATACGATGCATTGAATCTTAAAGTGACTCTTCGAAGTACAAACATTCAATTTCGGTCCTATAAGAAACAAATATTTAAACCTCTGGGTTACATACGAATAACTGTTATATATAAAAAGAAGAAGTTCATGGGATATTATTTGTCGTTTCTGATTATGGTACAGCCATTATGGGAAGAAGATGGATTCGAAACCTACAGATAAGTCTTCATGACTTTTATTCTATTTCTACTCGTCAACCATCAGTGTCAGGAATTTTCAATCAATTCAGCGACGTTTTTCAACCAAAAGTTGGTGAAATTCCAAACTATCAATGCTCTTTATCTCTTCGAGCTAATGCACAACCAATTTTTATAAAGCTTCGCCGAGTTCCTTACGCACTCAAAGAGAAAGTTGAACAGGAATTAGATGACTTAGAAAATCCAGGTATTATTAAGAAAACTGATCACTCC